CGTGTGCTAAATGGAACAAAAATTATAAATATATATCTTAAAACACCAATAAAAGCTATTGATATAATAATTAGAGAGATAAAATCCAATGAAATTTTAACCTTAACACTACAAGAAAACATGCCATATTCCTACGAAAATTCCTACGAATGTATTTGGTAGGAATATTTTTCACCAATTTCTTATGCAATTATGACGAAAAATAAAAGTGGTAGGAAATAGGTAAGCAATTTCCTACGAAAAGAAAATGTCAAAAAGTGATAGGATATATCCAACCAATAACCTACCAAATTTATATTCGTAGAAAATACGGTCAATATTTGGTAGGAAAGTTGTAGGATCCGATTGACTGTTACACTGGTGGAAATTTCGTAGGAAATTGTCCTACAGATTTCCTACGAAATATTATTTGTAGAAAAATTGTAAGAATTTTGTAGGAAAATATTTCTTTATGTTTGTCCACATCGAAAAGTTAAGAATTTAGATGAAAAAACTGCACTATAAAAAGAGCAAAATTAAAATTTTCTACGGATTTCCTACAAAATATCGTTTGTAGAAAAAATCGTAGAAATTTCATAGGAAACTTATGTTTTTTTATTTGTCCCACATCGACAATCTAAGTTAATTTAGGTGAAGAAGTTGCTCTATAAATAAGAGTCTTCACCTTCTCTCCCTCTAATTAATAATTACCTAGTCAAATTTTAGGCTCATAGTAATTAGAGAATTTATTTTGTTTTTTGTATATATTTTATTAATCAATTTTATAATTAATTTATATTTTAATTTAAATTCAATTTCTGATATTAATTTAATTTTTAATTTTTATAAAATTATATTGGTAGGAAATTGGTAATAAATTAATAGTAAAAGATTAGTAAAAAAATCATAGGAAATAGGTAAGTGATGTCGTAGGAAATTGGAAGGAACACTAATCGACAGAAAATGGTAGTAATTTGGTAGCAAAGTTCTACTAAAATTTCCTTATCCTACCAACATTTTCGTAGGAAATTTCCTACCATTTTCTTACCTTTTACAATTTCTGACGGCCGATTTCTTATGACAAAATTTCGTAGGAATTTTGGTAAAAAAGCCTTGTTTCCTACGTCTTTCTGACGATATTTTCCGTAGGTTTTCGGCATGTTTTCTTGTAGTAAAAATGGGATGCTCCCCTTCTTAGAAAATTTTTCCAACCTGAGGATGTCTTCCTTATCTTCGGTCGACCTAGCCGTACCTGTACCTTGGATGGATGCTTGGAATCACTCCAAATCAGGACTTTATTCGGTTAAGTCGGGATATGATCTGATTCGAAGGACAAAGCTAGCACGGGAAGCTGGACATGTTTGGAAAGTCCGTACACCTGGAAAGATGAAACACTTTATGTGATAATCTTTATCAGGGTGCGTTGCTACATGCCAGAACCTTACCTATCGACATATGGGCTCTGACAAACGCTGCCCCCGATGTGGAGATCCTGAGGAGTCCATAAACCATCTACTGTTTTTATGTCCCCCGGCCTTACAAGTCAGGGCGTTCTCAGACTTTCCGTCACTTCCGTGTTTCTTCCCGAGTACCTCTATTTATCAAAATATGAGCTTTCTCTTTTGGAAGCCAAAAGAGATAGGCATGATAAATCCTCAAAAGGATGTATATCCTTGGATCCTATAGTTTATTTGGAAAGCAAGAAACGACAAAATCTTCAACGTGAAAGAAATTTCCCCGGAATACACCTGGATCCACGCAAAGGTGGAAGCAGAAAGTTGGAGGTTAGCAAACCAACCTGAAGACAACGATGATGTTCACATTGAGGCTTTAGCCCCCCCCCCCCTCCGGCCCCGACTTCGCTATCCGAGGTACCGCAGATCCTGATATGTCGGATTGATGTTTTTTGGATCAATCACGGACAGGTTAGCGGCCTTGGTTGGAGATTTAAGGATGGCAGAGGGAATGAGATTTTTGGACTACAAGGATGTCGTAGAAGCCTCTCGGCTCTTCACGCCGAGATGGATTGCCTCTTATGGGCTATGTCATGCCTGAGAGAAAGACAGATGACTTTGGTGCATTTTCAGACCGACTATTCGGACCTTGTGAACATGTGTGAATCACCAACAGATTGGCCGTTTTTTATGACAGACTTGGAATCCTTCCATATCCTTCGCTAGAGCTTCTCAGAGTTCACCTTATCCAATATTCCGAAAACTCAAAATGTCTGGGCGGATAGTCTTGCAAAAGGAGCTCGAGCAAGAGGAGTTATTTTTTCCCAAATCGATCATACCGAGCCGGTCGAAGATGGTCCACAAACCACTTCTTTGATAGGCCAAATATGATTGTAATAGTTGGGTTGAGGAAAAAAAAATATATATATATATATATATTCAAAATTTATGATCACTTTTTGATGTGATAATTGATTTTTTTATCTGTAAATGTTTTTAAATGTATTATAGTGTTATCTTCAATTTTATCATCAATAATACGAATAGTAGCCATGGTCTTTTTTATAAATTTTAAATTTATGAACATGTATATTTTTACATGGACAATCAATATGGTATTAAAAACTATTTTATTGCAATAGTTATGATTGTTAATCATAATTTACATTACAATATTTATTAAAATTTAAAATATAATATTATTCCAAAGAAATTTTTAAAAATTTATAGACAAAAAGTAAATTTTTTCTATAAATTAATAATTAATAATTATTAATTTATAGATAAATTAATATCACGATAAATTAATAAAATATCATGGTCCTGACATTATTAATTTATAGAGATTTTACTGTATTTGAAGTAATAAAAATATTTCTAATAATTTCCAAAAATATTGAGTTTATAGAAAACTCAGTGTAAGTTAATACCATGTTTTACTCCTTGCAGAGAACTATGTTTTCTGCGATAGAGCAACCCTCTTTTCTCTTTCTTTGTTCAATTAACCTTAAAATGGACACACTGTTGCGATGAAAACGGTACAAATAATACATCAGCAGAGCTCTCTGCAAGGAGTAAAAAAGAAGTTTTTTTGGCATCAAACGGTACAAATGAGCCTCGGAGTGATCAGTGTTAGGCAACCAAGCATGGAGCAGTTCAGAAGCCAAAGAGAGATACCTTAGTCGTTAAGAGGATGCTCTGTTTTGATAGATTTAAAAGATTTGAGGTTCACTTTTGCAATCTGAGGAGTGAAAAGTCTATTGTTTGCCAAGCAAGGAGTTTTCAAATTTGAGAAGTGGTCAAAAACAACAAATATTAAAAGTGTTTGTCTGCCTGATCAGATGAGCGAGATTTCAGCGTAAAGTGTTACCAATCATACACAAGGCAACATCAACAGTGTTATGTCTCTGTGCTCAGATAAGCCACAATTCAAAGGCCTAAATCGCAAAAGCAAAGTTCTGTCTCTTTTCTATGTACACATCTTGTTTCTTTTCATGATTAAGATTCAGAAATTTTCACCTAAAAACTCCCTCAATGATCTCTGATTTATTTACTCATACCACGCTTTCAAAGGGTGATCTCCAAGTGTTTGCAAGTCCTCAAACATCTTCTCGTCTGATCTGTCTTCTCCAATGCATACCACAAAATCCGGTGCCTTCCCTTCTTCAGCCATTCTTGCTAAGGACTTTCCCGGTGACAAGACCTTTTCTTACTCCCTGTTACTCCAAAGATATCAGTTCAGGTCTAAGTTAAAAAAAACCAGAAAATATAGGGATTGCTTCGACTCAGTGCAATGAACCAGAGACATTAATCATAGAAGGTCCGGAGATATTACAAAGATATCAGTTTAGGTACCAGACAAAATAATTTATTCGTTTTAGTAGACTTCTATCTGAAGTTTACTAGTAATAAACCCTAAATCAAATATTTTGATTTCAATATTATAAATCATAAATTTAAACTAATGAATATGAAACATTGATTTATATACATTAAAAATAAGAATATCTAATTTATGATTGCAAATTTGAAACCAAAATTATTTTCTATTGATTTTAAAATTAAAATTTATGATTTAATTACATAGTAGACTTTATAAGTTTTGTTAGAAGTAGACTTCTAACCGTTTTTAGTAGACTTTGTCTGGGTTTAAACCGTAATTAAGACATTCCTTTTTTATTGATCATACAGGATTATATTGTCTTTTCACTACATCTTTAGATTATTTTTGCTAAATGTTTCATCACAGGTCTATTTTTGTATTCAAAATCAATTTTTAGGTCATTTTTAGCAAAAACCCCTCAAATTATAGAATAGTGTAATACGTTTATGTAAATAATAAGTTTTTAAGAATATTTTATTAAAAATAGACCTTAGGCCAATATTTCTCAATCCATATTATAGACACAACCCTGTTAGTAACAGTTCATGGGACATGGTGGCTTGGCGGCAAAAGGTTAAGCTTAACCAAGTGGTCATGATCAGATTGTCCATGAATCATGATGTTGTGCTGAGACTTTAGTAAAAAATTTATTAGAGATATAACTCAAAATTGTAACTCAACCATTACACATAATAACTCAAACTCAAAAAGTTCAAACTCAAAAATTTAAACTAATTCATTATTGTTAACATTTTTGATTAATCAATGAATTAGACCTATAACTTAAACTAATGCAAATGTAACTTATGTCTCTAATCAAAGCCTACACATACAGTAAAGCAAGTTTTATGACTGAAAAAAAGCAAGTTTATAGAAAACTCATGAGTTTTACAGAAATATTATTCAAAAAAAAAGTTTTATACCAAATAAAATACTGGCACAACAGTAAACATTCAAGAGGGCAGATACGGGAATAAAGAGAGATAACGGTAACAACTAACAACTAACTATAAAGCATCTCTTCTTCTTCTTATTCGTTTCATCTCCAAGAAACAACTTACTTCTTTGTTTCTCTCTCTAAATCCGATTCATTTCATCAGTGCGAAATATTCTTTTTCTTGTTCTTCTTGTTCTTCTTCTTCTTCAAGTCCGATCAATCGAGTTTCATCACTTAAGAAGAAGGCATGGAAGAAGATGACGCTGTATTATCTGAAGATGATTATGACGAACGAATCGAACCAGCAGACGAGGTAATAATCTCGTATTATCTGAATATGATGATCAATAATAGCAAATCTTGGCCTTACCACTTCCTCCGAGACGTAGACGCGGAGGTGTACAACCTGAATCCATGGATTTCCTTCAATATTCAGAACCCTAACTTCTTCATGTTCGTCAAATCCCGAACCGAGGCTTGTGGTAGAACCGATGGATGTGGATCGGGTTGCTGGAGGATCATAGGTTGTGATAAGCTGATCAAGTCTGAGGAGACCGGGAAGATTCTAGGGTTTAAGAGGATTCTTAAGTTCTGTGAGAAGTGGATTAACCGATCAGAACAAGAGGATCAGAGGATTTGGGTGATGGAAGAGTATAGGCTCGTCGATAAACGGAAGCAAGATCAAGTGGTATGCAAGATTCAGCTTTTGCTCCCACCTGCGGTTAGTGCCTTGCAAGCCAAGCATTTCTCGTTTCTCCCTAAATCGATGCTTGGATGATCGTAGGGTCGATTAAACTACATGGTTCAACGTTACTAAGTATCTTTACGCTGGAGATTGAGGATTCGTTATTTGTTTCTGGGTTTCATTTAGATCAAACTCATATTGCAGATAGTTTTCACTTTAGAATCTGTAGAATTGGTGATAACTGATGAGAGTCATGAGACTGTGCTTTTTGTTTTTGTAAATGTTTCTTAAATCTCTACGACATTTGGCTGCGGTGAGGAAATACACCTAATGCAATTTGTCAAACACACATTGTTCACTTTGTTAAAGAACTATACGATAGAGCAACCCTGTTTTTATATGTTTGGTGAATGGTTTTCGAAATAGCTTGAAAAATGATTACAATGTTGCGATCAAAACGGTACAAATGCGCCTTGGGAGTGAGTGTTAGGCAATTTTCCATTGAGAAGTTTAGAAGCCAAAGAGAGATGCTTTAAGTCGATATGAGGATGCTCTGTTTATGGCTGTTAGATCGATAGGTTTCAAAGATTTGAGTTTAACTTCAACGAGCTGAGGAGTAAAGTATTGTTTGCCAAGTAAGGAGTTTTGCATATTTGAGCAGCTGAGAAGTGCTCAACAGTGTTTGTCTGCCTGATCAGATGATTTCAGCGTAGAGTGTTACCGATCATACACAAGATAACATCAACAGTGTTATGTCTATGTGCTCATAAAAGCCACAATTCACAGGCCCAAATCGCAAAAGCAAAAGTTCTGTCTCTTTTCTATGTACACATCTTGTTTCTTTTCATGATTAAGATTCAGAAATTTCCACCTAGATAACTCAGTAAACTCCCTCATTGATCTCTGATTTATTTACTCATACCACGCTTCCAAAGGGTGCCTAGGCTTTGGGCTCCAAGTGTTGGCAAGTCCTCAAACATCTTCTCGTCTGACCTGTCTTCTCCAATGCATACCACAAAATCCGGTGCCTTGCCTTCTTCAACCATTCTGCTAAGAACTGTCCCGGTGAAAAGACCTTTGCTTACTCCCTGTTACTCCAAAAGATCTCAATTTATAACTATGTATAAACCAGACAAGGATTGCTTCGACTCAGTGCAATGAAACAGTGGTGAAGAAAGCGTAATTACCTGAGGCTTAACTTCAACGATTTGGTGGCCTCTATTGACAACAACAGGTTCATTCACGAGAACGGTTTCTAGATATCAGTTTAGGTCTAAGTAAGAACCAGACAATATAAGGATTGCTTCGACTCAGTGCGATGAACCAGAGACATTATAATTCATAGAAGGTCCGGAGATATTTACAAAGATACCAGTTTAGGTCTATGTAAAATCCAGACAACATAAGGACTGCTTCGAGTTATCGCAATGAAATATTGTCGCAATGAAGCAAAGTCATTGTAAAATCATAAAGATTTTAGATTTCTCTATCGATCATTGTATCAAAGCCAACGGCCGATCATAATTCTTGACGGCGTACTCCGAAAACGCAAACACCGGAGCTCAGACGTTCACCAGCTACAGCAAAAACGAACACGGGGCTCCAAACGGGTTCTCGGGTTACGGATCCGAGTCAAACGTAGTCAAATCGGGTTTTACCGCGTACGGAGAGACCGCGAACGGAGCTGACGACACCGCGAGACGAAACGCTGCGTTTGATCGTCAAGTTTTTCCGAGAGTCGATGCTAAAAGAAAGGAACTTTCCTAATGCCGGATAATTGAGGATTAAATGCGTAAAAGGACGTTTTTGCCCCAAACATAGTATCGAAGCTTCCTTTTTCATCCTCCGAGACAGGCGAGATACGGGAGGATCTTCAGCGCCGGAGAGAATTCATCAATGGCGGAAATAATTTCGTCATGGATTTCCGAATGCGAGAGACCGCCGAGCCACGGCGAGACGAAACGGTGCGTCTGATTGGCGGAGGACTTGATAGATTTAGCAACGTCGGAAAATGTCGTCAGGTCAAAGAAGAAGATCGTCATCGGGAAAGTCAAAGGAATCAACGTATATCGTATATCGTGTCACTGTATTACTGCCACTCGGTGCCTCGGGTACGGGTTTATGAAACGGATATTATTGACCCGGAGAAGCTAGAGAAGATTAACCATGGTGTTGCCATCTGTCATATTTGTAGAAACTGGTACAACAGTAAATATTTGTGGAAGAAGAGGGTAGTTACGGGAATAAAGAGAGAGAGAGAGCGGTAACAACTAACTGAAAGCATCTCTTCTTCATCGTCTTCTTCTTCGCTTCATCTCCAAGAAACAACTTACTTCTTTGTTTCTCTCTCTCTCTCTCTCTCTCTCTATAGATCCGATATTCATTTCATCACTGAGAAATCTTCTTCTTCTTCTTCAATCGTTTCAATCATCGAGTTTCATCACTTAAGAAGAAGGCATGGAAGATCACTCTGTATCATCCGAAGGCATGGAAGATCACTCTGTATCATCCGACGATGATGATGACCAAATCGAACCAGCAGAAGAAGAAGGCATAGAAGAAATTCAGTACTATCTATCATCTTCAGATGATAATGATGAACGAATCGAAGAAACAGACGAGAAAATGATCTCATATCATCTGAATATGATGATCAATGACTCTTGGCCTCACGAGTACGTGTACAACCTGAATCCATGGATTACCTTCAACAATACTACAAACCCTAAATACATGGTGTTCGTCAAATCCCGAACCGAGGCTAGTGGTAGAACCGATGACGGATGCGGAGCGGGTTGCTGGAGAATCATAGGTCGTGATAAGCTGATCAAGTCTGAAGAGACCGGGAAGATTCTAGGGTTCAAGAGGATTCTTAAGTTCTGTGACAAGGAGATGAACCGATCAGATAAGAGGATTTGGGTAATGGAAGAGTTTAGGCTCTTCGATAAACGTAAGCAAGATCAAGTGATAGGCCTGATTCAGCTTCTGCTCCCACCTGCGGTTAGTGCCTTGCTAGCCAAGCATTTCTCGTTTCTCCCCAAGTAGATGATTGCTTGGATAATCCTAGGGTTCCTCTCACTTAACTACCATGGTTCGACGTTACTTAGTATCTTTACGCTGGAGATTGAGGATTCGATGTTTGTTTCTGGGTTTCATGTAGATCAGACTCATATTGTAGATAGTTTTCACTTTAGAATCTGTAGAGCTTGATGATGACTGATAAGTCTGTGCTTCTTGCTTCTGTATAATTTTCTTAATTCTCTACTCGATTTGGCTGTGTTGAGGAAATACACCATGCAATTTGTCAAACACACATTGTTCACTTTGTTAAGGAACTATACGATAGAGCAATATTTTTGTGGTGAATGGTTTTCGATTTAGCTTGAAAATGGTTACAATGTTGCGATCAAAACGGTACAAATAAACTCTCTGCAGAGCTCTCTGCAAGGAGTAAATAAGAAGAAGACAGCAAACAGTAAAAAATGCGCCTTGGGAGTGAGTGTTAGGCACCAAGCATTGAGCAGTTTAGAAGCCAAAAAGAGAGATTTCTGATTGTTTGATCGATAGGTTTCAACGATTTTAGATTCACTTCAGCGAGCTGAGGAGTGAAGTCTTATTGTTTGCCAAGTAAGGAGTTTTCATATTTGAGCAGCTGAGAAGTGATCAACAGTGTTTGTCTGCCTGATCAGATGAGCGAGATTTCAGCGTAGAGTGTTACCGATCATACAGAAGACAACATCATCAGTGCTTTTCTCTGCGCTCGTATTAGCTTCAGTTCTCAATACACAGACATAAATAGCAACGCAATGTTCTGTCTCTTTTCTATGTACAAATCATGTTTCTTTTCATGATTAAGATTCAGAAATTATCACCTAAATAACTCAGTAAACCCCCGCATTAATCTCTGATTTCTTTACTCATACCACACTTTCAAAGGGAGACTCTGAGGTGAGAAGGGTACCAAGTTCTCGAAGTAACTTCACCAGGTCGCTTACTGTGTCGAGGTAGTACTTGGCATGCCACTATCTCTGTAAATATGGACGATGATAGAGCTGAAAGTGTATTGTTGTTATGCACTTCAAACATCTCATCTGATCTGTCTTCTCCAAATACCACAACCGGTGCCTTCCCTTCTTCAACCATTCTGCTAAGAACTGTTCCCGTGACAAGACCTTTGCTTACTCCCTGTTAGTCCAAAGATATCAGGTCAGATCTAAGTAAAAACCAGACAATATAAGGATTGCTTTGACTCGATCCAATGAACCAGGGACATTATAAATCATAGAAGATTTGGTGATATTAACAAGGTATTAGTTTAGGTCTATGTTAAAACCAGAAAATATAAGGATTGCTATGATTTATCGCAATGAAATAATGCCGCAATGCAACCAGACAATAGACGCCAATTGTAAACACTTTCTTTCGCTTCTAATATTGGATAAGCACTTTGTTCTCAGTCAGGAGACTTATTTCCCCCTGCATTACAACGAATGTGTTCTTAGTTTTATTCTCTGGCAACATAAAAAGTTTTAGGACACTATCAGAATTAAGACAAATCAGCAACGTGCCTTGTGAAAGTACCCGTGTTAAGACGCTATTACAAGATTCTCACACGGCGCCAACCACTCACTTAAAAAAACTTCCCCCTCTCCATAAATATAGTGTCTTTAACGCAGACATAACTTGAGCAGACATATCGAGGTCTGGTAATCTAGAAATACTAACACTGTTGCTCGGATTTTGAGAAAGCACTAACAGTTTTCTCAATGTACAGCCTTCTGAGACTGATGGAGAGGGCAAGGAGCCTAAAACCCATACCCCAGCCTAAACACGAGATGCCCTATCCACATCCTGAAAAAATCTGCGGATCCAATATGCTACATCATGTTTACTAATGAAGTTAAAGTGTTTTTTAAATGTTGTAATTGCTTCTCAAAATCAAACATGGTAATAGCAGAATATACCTACAGCATCAACGTCCCAAGGATTAACCTTAATCCTCTTCAAGAAGGTTAACAAGCAATGAACTCAGACAGAACAAGTGTGGTTTGTGTTTATCACTTACTCCTAGAGATTTATATCACACCAACAAGCATGTATACGACAAGTATAGAGATGAATCCAGTAATATCATTGTTTTGCCTCAATTTCAAACCTTGGAATGAATAACATAAAAATCTAGAGAAAACCATAAAAAACATACATTTGAGACAGAAAGTTCCCAAAACTTCACAAATCCTTCACAAAAGCAGCAAACTCAACTCATCACTTCACAATCAACAAGTGCTTCACCAAGTTCGCTGTTAAATTCGCAAAATTTGAAAACTTTACCTGAGTAAAAGACGGTCTATCGAACCCAGAATCTCGAAGTGAAATCACGGCAAATTCACAAATAAATCTACCGGAAAACTTCTAATCGCTGCGAATAAGATTCTTCTGATTACCTCTGCGTCAGTCTATTTGGGATTAGTTCATAGAGGTTAGCAAACGACGACGTATTAGTTTTTAGTTCAGTGAGGTTACAAACGACAATATTCAGGATTAGTTCATGGAGCTGTGAAACGACAGCGTATCGGTCCTATCGGACATGTGAAGTTGTTTATTTCGTTCCACATCGGTTTAGGTCTATGTAAAATCCAGACAACATAAGCTGCTTGGAGTTATCGCAAAAAATAATGTCGCAATGAAACAAAGACATTGTAAAATCATACGAGATTTGAGATTTTTCTATCGATCATTGTGTTATGGCCTTATGGGTTCTTTATTGCTACTCCGAAAACGCAATTCTTCTCGGCATACTCCGAAAACGCAAACACCGAAGCTCAGACGTTCACCAGCTACAGCAAAAACGAAAACGGGGCTCCAAACGGGTTCTCGGGTTACGGATCCGGGTAAAACGTAGTCAAATCGGGTTTTACCGGGTACGGAGAGACCGCGAACGGAGCTGACGACACCGCGGGACGACACGGTGCGTCGGATCGGCGGAGGACATGACAGATTTTGCCACGTCAGTGCACGGTCGCGGCGTGGTGGTGAGGACGACGGAGAATGTCGTCGGGTCAAAGAAGAAGATCTCGTGTGAAAGTCAAAGGAATCAACGGTGGTGATGTGACGAGAGCGGTTTCGTGTCACCAGAGTCTGTACGGCTGTACCCGTATTTATTGTATTATTGCCACTCGGTACCTCGGGTACGGGTTTATGAAACGGATACTATTGACCCGGAGAAGCTAGAGAAGATTAACCATGGTGTTGCCATCTGTCATATTGAAAACTGGCACAACAGTAAATATTCGTGGAAGAAGAGGGTAGCTACGGCAATAAAGAGAGAGAGAGAGAGAGCGGTAACAACTAACTGAAAGCATCTCTTCTTCATTGTCTTCTCCTTCGCTTCATCTCCAAGAAACAACGTACTTCTTTGTTTCTATCTCTCTATAGATCCGATATTCATTTCATCACTGAGAAATCTTCTTCTTCTTCTTCAATCGTATCAATCATCGAGTATCGTCGCTTAAGAAGAAGGCATGGAAGATCACTCTATATCAACCGAAGATGATGATGACCAAATCGAACCAGAAGAAGAAGAAGGCATGGAAGAAATTCAGTACTATCTATCATCTTCAGACGATGATGAAGAACGAATCCCAGCAACAGACGAGAGAATGATCTCACATCATCTGAATATGATGATCAATGAATCATGGCCTCACGAGTACGTGTACAACCTGAATCCATGGACTACCTTCAACAATACTCCAAACCCTAACTACATGGTGTTCGTCAAACCCCGAACTGAGGCTAGTGGTAGAACCGATGACGGATGCGGAGCGGGTTGCTGGAGGATCATAGGTCGTGATAAGCTGATCAAGTCTGAAGAGACCGGGAAGATTCTAGGGTTCAAGAGGATTCTGAAGTTCTGTGACAAGGAGATGAGACGATCAGAAGAGAGGATTTGGGTAATGGAAGAGTTTAGGCTCGCTGATAAACGTAAGCAAGATCAAGTGATGTGCACGATTCAGCTTCTGCTCCTACCTGCGGTTAGTGCCTTGCTTGCCAAGCATTTCTCGTTTCTCCCCAAGTAGATGATGCTTGGATGATCCTAGGGTTACTCCCACTAAACTACGATGGTTCGACGTTACTAGGGTATCTTTACGCTGGAGATTGAGGATTCGATGTTTGTTTCTGGGTTTCATGTAGATCAAACTCATATTGCAGATAGTTTTTTTTCTTTAGACTCTGTAGAACTTGATGATGACTGATAAGTCTGGTGCTTCTTGCTTTTGTATTGTTTTCTTAATTCTCTACTCGATTTGGCTGCGTTGAGGAAATACACCTCATGATAGTCACTGAGCCAGAGATTTCCCAAAACTTCATAATCCCGAATCTATATAACAAAAGCAGCAAAATCAACTCATAATTATTTCACAATCAACAAGTGCTTCTCCAAGTTCGCTGTTAAATTCGCAAAATTTGAAAACTTTACCTGAGTAAAAGGCGGTCTATCGAACCCAGAATCTCAAATTCACAAATAAATCTACCGGAAAATTTCTAATCGCGGCGAACAAGATTCTCATGATTACCTCTGTGTCAGCGTATTTGGGATTAGTTCTTAGAGGTGAGCAAACGACGACGTATAAGGTTTAATGCATTGAGGTTACAAACGGCAACGTATTTAGGATTAGTTCGTGGAGCTGTGAAACGACAACGTATCGGTCCTATCTTACATGTTTAGTTGTTTTTTTCGTCCCACATCGGTAAAATAAAGATAAGACGTGATGTTTATAATCGTGCGAGAGGAAAGCTTAGGTCACGACCTTACTTGAGCAGGATCTGTTCTATAGGCTCGTACTTCTGTATCCTTGGTTCCTAAGGAGACAGGCTCTCAAACCTGGTTGATGAGTCTAGACTGTGCGATCTGAGTGAGATTGATGGTCACGATTCTCTTCGTAGTTTCCGCGCTATAGAGGATCGCTATCCGGTCGGATTTCGACCTGTCCGGGGTGGTCGCACTGTTGTCTGACAGGCTAACTTTTTGTTTCTTTCATTATTATTCCATTAACTTTCGATTTCTTACAATTTCACTCCATATGTTTTTTCTTTTGAACGAAAACCCCATGTTTTCTCTTCACCGTTCCAAACTTCCAATTCCACATCTTCTTCTACTCTTCGGTGTTGTGTTGTTTCGAATTTCTCTTCTCCGAACATGATTCCTTCTGCAATTGAATCGAACCAGTTTTATAATCTCGATTCTAAATCAACAAAAAGTAAGTTCCTTTTCACTTTCTTCCTCGTTTACAGAGCAGTCGAGTCTACAAATTTGCTGAATTTTCGTTTTGTTCCTCTGTTATTCTCTTGAATTTTGAAATTTCATATGGGTGTTTCTTGTTATTGTTGTTACTTGAACCGGTTGATGGTTTTTGTTCAGGAGATGGAGAAATATAAGGACCATCATATGAATAAGCTTTTACCTGAGAAGGAACTTTAATTTGAGAGTTGAGACTCTATTGATGGTGTTGTTGGGATCTGTTTCTGAGGTATGAGATAATGCACATGTATGTATGTACATTTTTATGTTGTCGTCATGAATAAGGTGTGATTGTCATTACAGTTTTGAGTTATGTATCCTTTCAAGTTCAAACTCATTTAGGCTATGTTGGACTGAAACGATGTATAGATGGTTAGTTTTGGCGAGTTCTGTGGTTTTATATAGACTTGTGCAACCTCTCTAAGGCTAGTTGGACATGTTTTCTCTGGAATTACTGATAATTGGAGAATTAGTTTGGTGTTTATGTGTTCTTGCAAAACATTGATTTTTAAAGCAACGAATTTGAGAGGATTATGAGACTCAGTTTAGAGTATAAAAAGCTGTTTGGTTTGGACCTTGAAAAGGCCAAAATGTGTCTTGCTTGTTAAAAAAAAAAATTTTAATCCAAGATAATATAGAGCTTTCTGATTTAGTAAAGGTAGTATGATTGGCACATTTGGCACAAATCTGAGAAAACTAGCGTTCCAGGCATCAGCCTCAACACAAAGTTCACAAGAGTCACTGCATTCATTATTGGTTGTGTTTACAGAGAAGCTATGTGATCTTCTTTGGGTTTCTTGTTACTGAGAGAAGGAAAACGATTAGTGCTATGACTGATTCGAATGTTGTATTTCCTTGCAAAGACGCATAAATTTTCATTTTTGCTTTGTGTCATTGCCTGATTTCATTGGACATTCTTTCACAGTGAGCATGGAGGACCGCAAGCTGCACGAGCAGTCATGAAATGGACACAGGATCATGTGGACAGTGACATGAAGCATTGGACTGGTACTGATTAGTTATTACCAAAACCTTAAAGAATGAAACTTTATTGATCTTTATAGTTAATTAGTTCCACTGAAACATAATTCTAATGTAAAAAGCTCAAATGTTGTTTGTATGATATCAGTATTTCTTCCCTTGAGCCAAGTTTACTCGAATCGCTCGACCTTCCAGCTCAAATCCATCAAGCGATTCAAGCGCAGTTTCCATTTCCGATTTGGAAGAGTAACAAACAAAGCCATAACCCCGTGATTTCCCTGTATCTCCATCAAACACAACTCTAGCCCCAACCACATCTCCACACTCTCGAAACGCTCCAGCTAAAGACTCTGAAGTAACTGTCCACGACAAGTTACCAACAAATAGCTTAAACTCTGTCTCTGGATACAAAGGTTCTTTGTTAGGTTTTGGTTTATCTGCAAAGTTCACCTTCAAAGCCCGACCATGATACTCCTGAGAAACAAAAACCAATTCCAAACAAGAATGTGATTTCTGTTTTTTTTTTTTTTTTTTTTTTTTTGTTAAAGCTTCAAACTTTAAACTCACACACTTACAGTTCCATCGAGGTTTTCGATAATGATGTTGCAATCTTCGACATTGCTCATGGTTACGAAAGCGAACCCACGACTCTGTCCTGTGTCTCTGTTGTAAAGAACCTCGACGAGCTCAGGATTAGCGAAATCTTGAATGATTTGAGCGAGAGTTGCACTGTCTACATTGTAAGGCAAGTTCCCAAAGTAGAGCTTAGTGTTAATGGTGGGAGGAGGATCAAGATCAACGGTTTTTTTCTCATCCTCCTCTTCCAATTTGACGGTGATGGTCTCCGGCAGGACCTTTGATCGCCGAGAGCCGTCGCGTGAGGAGATGAAGAGAGGTTTTAGAGGTGAGAATTGGAACCTGAGGAGTGTTTGGCTAGATGAGTTGTTGAAGCGAAGGAGGAGGTTTGATTGATGATGGAGTTTGAAACAGGGAAGTGTTACTGTTGAAACTGCCATTTCTCTCTGGACAGAGAGAGGCACAAAAACAGATAGAGAGAGAGACAGACTTATTATGACAAGAGATGATTCTACCCACAAAAAGAGTTTGGTCCGTTTGGATAAGGCCAAAAGAGTGATTGGCCTATCATATCATAACGTCTATAGAAGAATCATATGGTTCTATACGCAGAGTTTTATACAATTGATGAGACCGGTTTTCACTTAACAGTAAACCATCAATTGGCATAACCAGTGCTGGTTTAAACCCGAGTCAGACTTGATTTTCCATCACCATAACTCAACAAAATCTATGGGAGTTTTCTTTTTTCACCATAACTCCTAACATGTGCTACAGTGGCATTTGGAATCGGTAATGAATGGCCTCTGACTCTGTCTCTCTGCTATAGCCACTTTCATCGATTGAAATTTGCTGCATGCTAACGTTGGTATTTCAGGAATCAATAAGCCTGATGTTCATTTTGTAATTCATCACTCTCTCCCAAAGTCCATAGAAGGCTATCATCAGGTGTGTTATTGAACATTCAGTTCTGAATTATATTTTTTCTTACATCAATTTGGGCATAAAGCTAGAAACACACATAGTCTAATTTTGTTTTCATGCAAAGAATGTGGTCGTGGTGGTAGGAACGGCCAGAGATCATCATGTGTTTTGTATTACGGTTATGGGGATTATCAAGTTGCATAAATCTGACACATTATCAAATTACTGCTCTGGGAGAATATCTATGCTATAGGCCAGGTTTAAGGTTACAAAACATATTTTCTCATCTCAGAATCGAGTTAAGCATATGATTAAGGCAAGGAGCTGAGGACCTCTGGCCAAGGCCCCACAATAGTATATACTTAGAACTAGTCCTAAATCTATATATTCATCATGTAATCCATTTAACCCAAAAACATGAATGACTTTAAGATCTATAATAATATACTGAAATGAATACTCTCGATGCTATGTAGCATAAGAGGTATCAATCCATAAGAGTTTAAGTTTGAAACATCAAGAATACAAGTAACTAAATGAGTTAAACAACAACAAAACTGTTTTTAACACTAATGACTTATGAATTCAAATGAAAGCAAGCTAGAACACAACTAAACAAGATTAAACTATCAATAAAAGACAAGTCTTTGGGCAAGACAATGGACTAGAGGATGTTTAATGCTAATCAATGATATCTACAAACTAGCACAAGAGCTAATATTTGCACTAATTTTGATAAATCATTTTAAGGCACTAATCACTTTGTTAATTATCAAATTCAATAACTAATTCTCATAACTGAAATCAGCAATGACAAGCATTGATTTCAAGTTCCAAAAACTGAATAATCACATTAGACATCTAATCTCATAAGCTAATCATGAAAATTTTTTGCTTAGTTCTTTAGAGAATTTCATCAAACAAAAAATTGCAATACCTTCAAAATAAACAGTAGCGTTTGTAAATTCTCTCGCTTAAGTAGTTAGCTGGTAAGGTAATAATCTTCAGCGTCTTCATTAATTTCGCTAACCAGAGACAAAGTTGGCCATAGGCAGACATTCTCATGAAGCACCAGCTTTATACGCCAATATTTACATAAAATTTCAGAGCATCATTTGTGCAAAATATTTTTCTAGTATAGTGATATTTTTAGATTTGTTAGTAATATGTTAAGTTTCTAACAACTTTCTTAACAGTTTTTGGTTTTTTTGAAGGAAACCTTCCTATATAGATAACAAGGTTCCTAAGGGCTGTTGGGCTACAGAGTCAGCAACTTGGTTATCCACTCTGGGGATTTTGAACTTGTGTTTATTAATTATTTTTCGAGTCTTTGGAGTCTTTTCAGTTAATTTCAGGTGACTAGGAGGCTTTAGCAAATGATTGGATTGTCTGGAAGGCATTATAGTAAAAAGAGATGAAGCTGAGCAAAAAAAAGGAGCAAAATTTCAGTTAGAGAAGTCTTCCGCGGAGCACCTGCTCCCGATTTTGACCTTCCGTGGAGCACCTGCTCCAACCTTTGGAGAAAAAAAAAAACTTTACCTAGTTCCAAGTCGCTTGAAACAAAATAAAAAGAGACCCGAGCCGCCTCAAAAACTGATCACGTTTTACAGACCTTTTCTCCAACGCTTTCTTTTATAATTTTCTAGACTTTGGAGAGTTTTTGCTTGTAAGATTTGGGAGAAGAATTCCTGCAACACTTGAAAAGAATTCTGAACCCTTGTTATCTCTTATTTTTATTCATGAATTCCATCTTTTGTTGTGTTTCTTTTCTCCATGTCTGAGTAGATCTCTTAGCTAGATTAAGGTTTTCAAAGGATTTCATGAGTTAGAAGATTGGATGCAAATAGGGCTTGATATCGATTGTCTTCACCACTGTTAAACTTAAAGCTTAGGTTGAACTGGCCACTCAATTTTTGATCTTAGGTTAATCTATTCAGCAAAAGTGTAATAGGTTGCTAGAATAAACATTGGTGACCGTTTTGTCCTTAGCCAACGACAGTTGAAGTTAAGGCAAATCGTGAACAGATCAAACCTGATTGTTAATGCTTGTCTGTAATTTTCTAGGTTCAAACAACAATTTAGAATTTAGGTTGTTAGACAAAGTTATCGGTGCCACGACATTAAGTCGATATGCGTTTATGTTTGAGTTCGAGACCTGCATTTAAATTGTGCCATGAATAGTCATCTGATTCTCATCTCTGAAACTCCTGTGAATTTCCTTGGTCTAGTGCTTTTCTTAAATCGAATTTACATCGTTTTTAATTTGCTTTTACTTGCTGTTTAAGTTACAATCAATCATCGTTTCATCTTAGCTTTGTTTCAGTCCTCGTAGAGTCATAGAGTAACATTGGTCCTCTGGATTTCGAATCATTTATATTACAATCTCAAAGCTGTTCTATTGCAATAGAAACTAGGAGATACATCCAGTTGGAATTATATACCTAAAACAAATCGAAACAAACAGGGAAGAACATATCAAGATGTCTACCAGGATTCCATGAATTTTAGCAATAGGAGTCTGCAAGATAATTGCCTAAATTAGGTTCTGGGAATCAGACTTGATGCAGATCTTGTCATACTTCATCGACAGGGCATGTATAATCGTTTCTCTCACTGCCAAAGCTTCTGCAGTGAGCACTGAAGGGACATTGAAAGAGGCAGAGGAGTGTTTGGAGGTTCGATTTCGGTGAGCCGTAAAGGTCCAACCCAAACCAGCTACATCCAGGTTGGCTCTCCATGTGGCATCCTTAACAATTTTGTTTTTAAATTTGTAAGTTAGATCAATTTTTTATTTTTTATTTAGGCGACCCAATATTTAGGAAAAAGTCTGACCAAAGCCAATACCTTCTTCATCATCTACAGATTGAAGTCCACATTCAACTCGATCAACTTCCCCAGTAATGGTAACAATGCCGCCCCAAGAATTTCCACCACCGAACAATGGACATAGTTCATCCTATTTAGCAATCACCAAATTGACAAGATTTTTGAATCGATATTTGTTAAGCAAGACGTTATTACAAGAACTCACCATCAAGATTCATGTTTGGATCCACACTGTTCCCTCCTCCCCTCATCCACCAATGTTACTTAAAAGAACTGATCGATGATATTTTTACGAGATGAGAAGTCCTTGTTTCAAGATCTCACAATCCATAATCGATGCGATTTTAGGTCTAAGTCTTGATAACGTACCAAGCAATCTTGCTGCAGCTACCTTTTTCTTTGTTCTAAATTGAGATAATTACAATAAAAGACACTTTCTATAACAGGTATTACACTAAAAGACACTTTCAACTATTAGGTAACTTATTTTACTGTTTACGCCCAAATAACCCGAAATTGCCCTTCGTGGATACGATAAGGTGGACTCAAAGAAGTGGATAGCAGATTAAACCCAGATTTTAAAAATAATTATTATTTTCCCCCATCTGTTTTGTTTTGTATTTTTATATATTGTGAAAGAAATAAAACAACTTTTTTGTTAGAATGAGTTATAATTTCATTTTCTTATTGTTTTAAGACCCATTATACTATAGTTTATTTATCAACAATAAAATTTTCAAAAACACATATATATAATTTTTAAAAAAATTAGAAGTCTAGGTAGATATCCACTTATAAAATATGATTTGGATGATGCATAATGGACATATAACATGGACATGATTGTGTGGATGTGTTTTCATTGATATATTCGACATGGATATACATTTTACATTGTCCATAC